TCTTTAATCGAATGGTGTAGTTTGCCGGTTCACTTTGATGTGTTTGAGGCAAATGCTAGACCTTGTCGTCGCGTAGATTCATTTTTTCCGTAGAAAACGCATTAGCTAGTCCAAGGTTGAGGAAAAACCTGGGTAGAGTTGGAACTGCAGTGCATTTTGGGACTGTTTAGGGGACGAAATAAACGTCATCTCGCAAATATAATTCTAATATAGTCCCACAATGCACTGCCGAATGCCAACTCCACCCAATTTTTACCCTAAACCTCAGAATGACTAACAAGGAATCCATAAAAAATTACATTGCAAAGCCACGGTTCATAAATATCAATTATAACCTTATTTGATTTCATCTTATAACAAGGTATTTTTTCCACTTGTTGGAAACATCGTATAAATAGACGAGAGACGTAACATTTGTAGCTCCATTTTAGTAGAGTAAATGGGATGTCATAGCCGCCATATTGGTTTATTAGAGCAATAGATTTGGTGCCCTTTTGTTCGGATCATAGGGGAAGTGACGCACGGCGTCTTAAGCTCCCTTTCAGTTATATTCTAAGTGCTGATCAGGAGGGCAAAACAATGTACTTCAATTCTTGATAAGTTGAAATCGAATCAGAGTCCCTTTAGGCAGGACCACCCCTCCCTCCGTCGGTAAATAGCATATGCAGTATATCAATATAAATAAGAAAGTAAAGGTATCATGCACAGGGCAATGGTCAGGCGGGAAACCTTTCACCATTTGACCATTCCGGCTTTAAGAATGTTACGTCAGACAACATCGAACCTAGCTACTGTCTAGAGTCTTCGACAGACTTATAGTCGAGTGCGTAGCTGTTTTTTAAGACTGAAAAATATTGGTTTGGCTTTTCTTCCCATGGGGTGTTTCATCCGCGAGTCAAATAAATATAAGAACTTAAATATTCGATGTAATGTGGCCAGTCTTTAGAGTAGACCATGAGGGCTGCGGGTCTAATTGTTAATTTTTAGTACTAATTAGCACTGATGAAACGATAGGCATAGCACTATTTTGTACTAGAGTTATTTTACTTAGAAGGTGAAACAAAAAATACTTGTTAATGTGTGATAGTCAAATAGACACATAAGAAAACAATGGAAATAGGTTAAAACCACTATATCCGTGAAACAGATTCTGTTGTTCTTTTGTGTCTGTTTGACTATTACATGTTGACTAGCATTTTTTTTATAGTCAAGAGTTCATTGTCTTCAAATTACGATCTACCAACCTCTATTCTTCCTTTGCAATAGACGTCATAGCTGTCATGTTGGAAGAATTTGACAAAAGATTTTTCAATGAATTGTTTTGTTATATCTTCCAACATGGCGGACATCCCTTCTGTTATTGTGCTCTCTTGGGATTGATCGCAAACCAAGAATTAGTCTATTACGTTGGGGACACTCGAACCGTGAAAGAAAAAAAAATGAAAAGAAAAATGAAGCAAAAAAAAAGCATTGAGTTCAAATACACCGTGTGATGAAAAGAAATCTCGTTTCCAATCGATTGGATCAAGGGATGACTTACAGTATGCGTCTTAAAAAAGTGACACAAACGCGAAGTGTTCGAGTATCCTTACTGTAACTACTTCAAGGGGTAAGTAAAACCACTGTATTTAGTGTAAGATAAACTGTACTATTTCAAAGAACACTCGAACGACACTCGAAGACCATCAGCTTCTCTTCGTTCACTTATATAAATAAATGTACTATAGTTTTAAATTAGCTCAAATWCTCAATGTACCACGACAAGCCATCAAATAGTTGTGCTAATGTTACCAAGGAGTGCTATTTGCAACGCGTTACCTCGACATTTTTCTTGCATTTTTTACATATGACCCGACAGCACCACTCAAATCTACAATGACACAGCCACCGTTTCGTCATTTCGTGCGTGTCATATCCACGCCCACAGCAGAGCAGTCCGCAGTTGTCAGCATCTGTGGTGGTCCTGTTGCAAATCCTTCCCGAGGTACCCACGATTTTTAGCTTGAAATCTGGCTCACAATATGTAGGAGAGTTGGAGATATACACCAGCGAAGAAAGGTGTGGTTTACGGATTTTAGATCCACTATTATCCAATAGTAGAGCCACATTACGCATCCCACTTCTTGAAGGAACTTTTCGGGTACGAACTCGCTGCGAGGAATCCACTTTGTTCTGCATTTTAACTCCGATTTCTCTGAAGGCAGGCAGGGAATTCCAGCATGTTTCAGTGACGCATGAAGCAGAAGGGCCATGACAACGACACTCGAGTTTCAAGCTTTCTTTAAGAACCTAAATACATCACAACCGTATAGAAACAGAAAATCGTATTTTATTGATTTAAAGGATTTAACTCTTCAAATGCAGAAATAAGTTATCCTCTCAAGCTTTACCGCGCGAATGGCACAAGCAAGGACAAGAAAAACGGTTTTTAGCCTTTCGTCATAAGGACAGCTTTACGTATTTAAGCTCAATATTTCGTAAACACGTTCTTTTGGAGCCAAATAGCAAAATATCAAATGCGACCAAAATCTATTGAATGCGTATTTGAGATATAAAGCTGTGTACTTTGGGAGAGGTGATATTTTGATCAGCAGAAAACTGACATTTTCGTGAATACTAATAAGTACATTTACTCTAATTTGACAAAATTTCGAGCAGCAGTGACACAAATGAAACGCTTAAGAATTTGGAGTATTAAACTCAGTTAAATTTAAAAAATCGTGAAAGTAGCGGGCTTGTCGTCTTTCTGCAAGGGAAAGACTTTCAGCAAGGGAAAGACTGCTCTTAATCTGAAATGGTATTTTAGTATGTTAGGCTTCTGAGCAATGTTTGTGTGCTATGCTATCCATACTTGCTTTATCTTAATACTCCAAGCCATGTACATTCATATATGCATCTGTCACTTACACTCACTACAAGAGACATAATAAAACTTGTATCCAATAATTTAACAAGGCATCATCCTGGACTAAAATCTTGAGTCGGGAAGTTTCCTTTTTTATGTAGAATCTGCGCGCCTTAAACCGCTTCCATCCCCCCATCCCCATCACACACACACAGAGTTTAGGACCAGTTTCTTACTTGTTCCTAAAACTACCATCAACGCGAGCCTGAGCCAGTAAAAGATTTAAACTGTCAGCCTTTTGGTTCTCCTTCAATTTAGTCTTTTTAGTTGTTAGATTGAAAAGGTTATTGCGTTAGAAACGTCTTATACCGTAGCATTTCTTAGTAGGTTATCTTATCAGATCCAATGAAAGAGTCACCGATATTAGTATTCATAGCAAAGACGAGAGAGAGAGAGAGAGTTGCATTGCACTTCAGTTACATTAGACTAAGTCTATCAGGAAAGATCAAGTTGATGTTAACTCACCGAGACGGGAATTATAATTAATAAGAACTGAAATAGAATATTGTATTATATTCTAATATTATTAGAAGAGATTGATCCGACAGAATAGTTAACAAAAAGAGGCTCTTGCTTCGAGTAGATAGTTTTAACCCACATTGTACTTAATTGCCCTGCTGCTTACCTCCAACATCTTGTCCAATCTAGATCAACTGGCTTACAGTACAAGATCACGATGCCAACTGAATTGTGCTGACTTGACAAAAAAAATTTCATTTTCGACATATATTTACATAGCTATTTGTATTAAAAGTCACACCATCAGTCAAAATGGCTGTAAATATTCACATTTTTATGAACATAATTACGAGTTATCGAGACAGATCTGGAGAAGTTCTTGTTACTCTTTGTATTCTTGCTGCTGATGTTGGTAATGTTGATGGTAGTAACGAGCACGGTGTAATGGGGTTGATGTTGATGATAACGATGGTGTAAGTTGCATGTGAATGATGTATATTCAATTTCTCGATCGATGATGATAATGACGATTATGCATGCATAGCATTAAAGATAATGCATGCTGATGATGGGGGTGTGATGATGCATTTCGTCGATAGAAATGATGGCGATGATGATGGCAATGATGATGCATTGCATCAATCATGGTAATGATAATGGTTGTACGATGTGATAATGGTTGTACGATGATGATGATGATGTATTGCGTCAATGATAATGCTGATGATGGTGGTGTGATGATAATGATGATGCGTTCCGTCAATAATGCTTATGATGATGGTATGATGATAATGATGATGCATTGCGTCAATGATAATAATAATGGTGGTGTAATAATAAAGATTGCTTCAATGACGCTAATGATGATGTAATGATGATGATGATTTTTGGTGATGATAAACATATTGTCGACATGATGATGAGTAATGATGATGATACAAGTTGTATCTTGCTCAAAATCCTTTAACTTTTATTTATTATTAACATAATACTAATTTACATTGATTCTAGCAAGAACGTTACAGTGATAAAATAACCAGTCCCATATGTCTTACATATCATAATGCTATTGGCAATCATGCATCATGCAAAAGTCGCAGGCATCATTCATAGACTTCACTTGACTTTTCCTGGCACCATGCAATTTTTAATGGAATAGATAGATAACAGTTTATTTAAAGAGAATCGAATTCTATAATCTCCCATATAGCCCTAATTTTCTTCATTCAGCATTTCGTCGATGTTTGTAACTGGGAAAAATAAGTGAATAAAATAACAGGTGCAAACACGATCTCAGTGTGAAAAGGTATCAGGCAATAGCATGTATTCTTACACGGGTATGATATAAAAATTATTGATCGTTTGTCACCAGATAAAAGGAACTTGGAAAAAATTGTTCGCATTCAACAAGAACGATAGAATACTTAACTGATTTGGCTGCTCTGCAATTTGGTTAATGGTAGAAGTGAAAATATCTCGTGCATATACGTCTATAATATAAGGTATACAACTAAGCTTGTTCGATAGCTTTATAATTTAACAGACAATACTAATACCATGCTTTAATAGTAGACTGAAGGTTGGCGTTTAGAGACTGCATGCATGACAGCCTTTGTCGATTAGTTTCCTCAGCAATGAACTTCGTTCACTTGCAGTTGTGTAGAACAGCCTTCTCCGAGCAGGACTTGCATCTTACATAGCAACACCAGTAAAACTTACAATTACACTTCCAACTTCTATTGACAATGCGTGTATCATAGCCACGCCCACAACACATGACGTCACATACATCAGCTCTTTGATCGCTGATGTCCTTGATGCATGTTCGTCCTTTGGTTCCAAGAATTCCCTTGGTCAAATTTCGCTCGCAGTAATTTGGTGAGTCTATTAGGTACACTGCTTCGGTGCCATCATGTTTCGGTTTTGTATATTTATCGTCCTTATACACAAGAGATGGAGTGCCTACATCTGCCCTCTTGACCTTGACGGTGTTTCTGGAGTAGATCTCGTGAAGGCGATGGCCCAAGGCTCGAAATGGTGGCAAACGATACCAACATGTTTGGACTGTACAAAAGCTGGTTGTTCCATGGCATTTGCATTCCCGAACCAAGTTATTGCGCATTACCTATGATGATCGTGTGACAGGGAAAACAAAGCGTGACTAGTGCATCAAGACGTATTACGACTGTGTTGTCATGGAAAACACGTGACTGAAATACTGGTGAGTGCGTTACGATTTGAATAGTGTCTTGAAGATGACAATAGTAGAAATGGAAAGTGGACCATTAAGCTTTCAGCTTGGTAAAAATAATAGGAAATGTAAAAGTGAATCTCGGGTGAAACTATGAAATCTCGGGTAGAACTATGAAATACTATAGAGAAATATTAAATGGTTCTAAGATCAGAACTGACGTAGAAAATGAGAAGTACATTTTGGGTGAGAATAATAGAAACTGAAAATCAGGAACACAGATAAGAAGAAGTGC